GAAAAGCAAGGATTTTGTTATGATTTTATTTGTGGAGGATAATGCGGGAAAGTTAATAAATAAAGCGCCTCTCTCTGTGTTTCTTAAAGATATATGTAGGCTTAGAGACTTAGAAAATAGAGTACTTGAGAAGCGAGATATTTGAAAGAAATCATTTTTATTTACTTTACAAAATAGCGCCCTTCTCTGCGCTTCTCAAATATTTAACCTTAGAGACTTGCTTACTAAGTACTTAAAAAAATGCGCCTCTGTTTGCGCTTCTTAAATATTTAAGCCTAGAGACTAAGGAAGCCTAGTATTTAAGAAGCAAGATATTAAATAAAATATTTTAGTTAAGAGAATAAAATACCGCCTCTCTCTGCGCTTCTCATATATTTAAACTTAGAGTCTTAGGAAGGAGAGTACTTAAGAAGCAAGATATTTAAAAAAATAATTATAATTTGATTTCAAAAATAGCGCCCTTCTCTGCGCTTCTCAAACTAGTAAGCTAAGTACCTAGAGGTAGATCATTACTTCAAGCTTAGAAGCTTAGAGACTCAGGAAGCAAAGTACTTGAAACAAGAGCCCTTCTCTGCGCTTCTCAAAGATTTAACCTTAGAGAGTTAGGAAGTAGAGTACTCTTAAGTACGATATATGTACTTATACTTCTTAAGTATACTATACTACTTATACTTATTCTTAAGATATTTAAACAGATAATTGTAATTTACTTTAAAAAATGACGCCTTTCTCTGCGCTTCTCAAGCTATTAAGCCAAGTGCCACTAGATCACGCCGTTCTCAGCGCTTCTCATCCATCCAATCTCATCCAAACCCTATCCAGTAACTCAAAAGCCTCCAAAAAATTTCAAAAAATATCCAATTAGAGGCAATAACGTGCCTCTCACTCTCTCTCTGTGTGCCACTCAATCGATTGACCCAAGTGGGAAAGTGTGTCTGCAGTAACTACTATATTTCCTTGCACTTTCGCCCATATGCGGCTCCAGACACTTGATTAACTTGCAGATGCAGATGCGCAGCTGGGGATCTACAATATATAGTACATATATACATACATATGTATGTATGGATGGATGGATGGATGGATGGATAGACTGACTGAATGCATAAACGGGCCCGCAATGAGGGTTGTGACTTTGTGACGGCGAGAAACTGTAAAGCTTTGGCTAAAATGCAAGTGCACTTCCCCAGTTCAAGGCTTACCCAACGGATGTACACATACATACACACAAATACACACAAATACAAATAGTATATGTATATGTATATGTGAAGAAAAAAAAAGCATGCTTTAAATTTTTCTTTCTTTTTTTTTTTGCCATCGCCATCCCATTAATTCATAAATTTCAGCATGCCGTTGTTGACGTTGCTAAAAATAGTTCAACTATGGGGGTTGACTTGGACCTGGGCTGGGGCATGGGCTGGGGCTTGGGATTGCCTTGACCGGCACAAATACTCTACTCTACTCACTCTGGCTTGGTGCGGTATTTGCACCAGGACATCGAGGACAAGACAAGACAAGACAAGACCATTGCATTGAACTTCAACGGTCGCCATTTCCGTTTTAGCTTCATTTCTTTCCATCGACTTATGCAATCAAGCTGTTTTACCTGGAACACGACAGGACATGATAGAACATGAATAAAACGGAATAGTAGTACAGTACAGACTGGGATCAAAACGGAATATATGTAACATGCGGAAGTGGGTGAGACGTTGCACGTTGCGACTTCCAGATACATATGTATGTATCTGTGTATCTTGTAAATAGGTCGCTGCAGCAGCGTGAAGCGCAAAAGCGACTCATCGACATCGGCGGCATCTAAAAAGGAGGCGACAATGACGTCACAGCCGCATCAGGCCGTGCCGCTGACCTATATACACGCTCTACAGAGCAAAAGAGATGCCAACACCAACGCCACACCGGTTTGGTAAGAGCGAGAGAGGGCATAGACTGTGGCATAGAAATACACAGAGAGAGATAGAGATAGAGAGAGAGAGAAGGCATAAATTTGCTGACTGGCATTTACATAGCGGATAAGGATAAAAAAACACAAAATTCTCAAAAAGTATTTACATGACAAGGAGATGCAAAGAGAGAGAGGGCTATAAAGCAAAAGAAAGAGAAGGATAGAGTTAGAGGTAGAGGTGGAAGCAAAGGTTGAGATACCGTTTGTTGACATTCAGTTGGAACTTCACCTGACCGGTCTTTTTGCTTCATGCACTTGCACTTGCATTTGCCGCTTGCCACAATCACTGACGTCACATTAGATAATGTACATACACATGTACATATGTAGTGTACATATGTGGTATTTCCAACTTAAAGGCACTTTGGTATATACTTTTTGGTACTAAAAATCTTTTTGGAGAAGAAAGGAGAATTAGTTCAAGAGGTTTAGGAATATGTTTCTTTCAGATTTCCTCTTAAAATTTATAAAAGTTTTTATAAAAAAAAAGAATTTATCAAGTATTTTTTTATAGTTATAGATTTTATCAAAAAAATGAATTTATTAAGTATTTTTTTAGGTATTATAGTATCTAAAATAATACCAATTATACTTAGTAATGAACTAAACTAATAATACAAAATACTAAAACTTAAAACAAGAAAAACTAAAGACAGAAATACAGCTCTGAATTATTTAAAATTTTAGGTAAAAGAATTAAGCGAAGGATCTTATGAATGTATTAAAGAATTAATTTTATTTAAATAGCGCCTTTCTCTGCGCTTCTCAAACTATGCAGCTAAGAGCCTTCAGGTCACTGATATAAAATAAACGTAAAAGCCTTGAAATTTTATGGATTTTTTATATATTTTATTGAAGAATTATAAAGCTATATTATGAGCTACTACTATATTTATACGTAATAATAGTGATATTAATGAAGTTTTTAAAGGAAATTGAACTACTAACTACAAAAATTCTATAAATATCTAGATTGTAGAAAATAAAATCCAGAACCTTTTAAAATGAATCTTTACTCATGTATATCTCAATTAGTTTAAAAGTTGTACTAAAAAAACCTCAATAACCCTAATGAATACTTAAATCTATTAATATCTCCAATCAAATTATAAACATATATTTAAAACTTAAAAAAATATTATATAATTATATCTAAGAGAAGCCTCTTCTTGACCCTAGATCTCCTTAGACTACAAACAACACCCCGTAAAACCCACATTAAGTTACAAAAGCTCACCCTTATTATTTGTATGTTTTATGTTTGAAATTATATTGCAAGATCTTAACTATAATTTATAATGGCATTATTATTTTAACCGCAAGCCGGGCCATAAATACAAAGAAGTGCCTGCCGCAAAGATGCAGTTGCGGGCCAGAAAGATTTATGCCGACAAACAATTTGTCCGAACAGGCACACACTCGACCATTCTGGCCCAAAAAAAAAACAAATATATATATATATGTATAAGGATCAAGAGTGGGTTGGCTGGTTGGTGCACTTACACGCTTAATTAAATGCCACGGCACGGCGCCAAAAAGCATGCAACCTGCCATGCAATAACGCCTCGCTAGCCCAAAAAACTCGGCAACAGCAGCAACAATTGCAACACTGCAACCAAAGCGGCATGGCAGCAGCAGCAGCAACAATTGCACATTGTCAGCAACATCAGCGATAAGGGCGGAAAATGTTGGGCACGATGCCAGTAGGTTGTTTTTTTTTTGGTTGGATGGGTGGTTGGCTTAAAAGTAGATGGCCGAGATGGCTGGATGGCCTGCTGTGGTCGTTTTTATATGCGATTGTAATACAATTTCAATTACAAGTGTAAACATAAGTATATTGCCAGCGTGGGCGTGTCCATGGGCATGAACATGGGCGTAGACAGGAGGTGGGTCTGCAATGAATTTAATTTTGAACAAGGCCTAAGCCAAAGCCAGAGACACACACACACACACGTCCCATGGAGGAAAAATATATACATATATAAAATTTCGAATTGCAAATTGCAATCGAAACGATGCTGCGGCGGCGGTGGGCCATTTAATATGCATGCCAATTGAATATTCAATCGGATAGCATCTGGAAAATGATTCGAGCCGAAAAGTAATTAAAGACCAAGCCACTGGAGAGCTTAAAGATCGAAGGCGATGAATAATATAGATGCAGATTTCCAGTTAAAAGTCGAAGCATGAGGCGGCAGAAGCCAAAAGTCAATCTATATAAATAAATGTCCTTTTTATCAATGATTTGATTGCAATTGCATTAGGGTCATCCTTGATAATTGTTTCCAAAGTGTCAATCATACAGCCAATTAATAAGAAACTTTTTCGTTTTTTAATTGTTTTCTGAAACTATTTGAGTTGCGGGCATGGCATGGGAAAAGTTTTTTCCTCTTTTTTTTATTTATTTGTTAATTAATTGATGACTTTGTGGCTGTTGAGATAAATAAATGAATGGATTCCATGATGTATTGACTCTTGGGGGTGTTTTTATAAATACATAACATAGATTAGAATTTTATTGAATATTATTCAAGGTGTTTTATAGATTTCAAATTAAAATCTATTAACAGGATAGGATATTTAAAATATTTGGCTGTTTAAATACTTAAAATATGTTTAGACTCTTTAGGAATTTTGAAGTTTATAAGTTCAGTGTTAACAGAACTAACAGAGAGTTAACAGAGATAAGCTAGTCTCCATGTTTCTATCGATATATCGTGCATAATTTTATGCTCATCACAATGGCTTCTAACCTAAAAGTATATAGAGGTGTTATTTAGGTGTACCTACTCACTATATAAGTAATAATCTTAAATCTTTAATATATACTAGTATGTTTTTAAATCCTAAATCAATATTAAAAATATTAAAAATATCAAAAATTCAAAAGGTATTCTCCTATTTATTATCCTCTAACATTAATATTTGTAAGTATTTATTTTATATATTTTTTAGGAAATTTTAAATACCACTACCTTAAACTAAAATTATATCTAACTAATTAATTAAATCGTACTTATTCTATTTCTAGGTCTTTGCCCAAATTGAGCAGTCAAGACGAAGAAGGGGGGGCTGGTCATGGCTTTGGTGGCGGACCGCAACACTTTGAACCCATTCCTCACGATCATGATTTCTGCGAAAGAGTCGTTATAAATGTATGTCTACACCTTAATTTATAAATATTTATATATATATTTTTTCAAATAATAAATATTTTATTTTAGGTAAGCGGATTAAGGTTTGAGACCCAACTACGAACGCTAAATCAATTCCCGGACACACTGCTTGGGGATCCGGCTCGGAGATTACGGTACTTTGACCCGCTTAGAAATGAATATTTTTTTGACCGTAGTCGACCGAGCTTCGATGCGATTTTATACTATTATCAGAGTGGTAAGTTATCCGTAATCTATATCCTAAACATATTCTCTCCGATTATATATCTTTACTAATATTTTTCCATCTCTTCTTTCTTTCGAATTCGTCTGAATATTCATTCGTTATTCATTTGATTATTCATTTCATTCATAATATTCATTCACAGGTGGCCGACTACGGAGACCGGTCAATGTCCCTTTAGACGTATTTAGTGAAGAAATAAAATTTTATGAATTAGGTGATCAAGCAATTAATAAATTCAGGTAAGACCCACGTGTTGCCCACAAACAAAATTACAAACAAATACCCCTAAAATGATACTAATACTAACTACAAGAAAAAACTACCAAAACTCTTAAAAAAAAAAACTAAACTAAATGATTTGGTTTAATATTTATTGGTGGCACGAATCAATACAATGAGGCATGCAACACCACGGCAAACAGACTGACACTTACACTACCAGACATAAATGTATAGATCTAGACTTGGCTTGTGTATGAAATAAGTGTACTTAGAAATATGGCTGGAAATGCAGAGTTTCAGAGTCCAGGCTCGAAATATTTTTAATAAAAATTTGTCTATTTTTAATATTTTATTATAGTTTTAGTTTTATAGTTTTAGAAAAAGTATATATATTTGAAAACCTCAAGCATTTCCAGTCTTTGAAAAAATAGTATGACCAAAGCTACAAAAATTCAAAAAAAAAATTAAACTTGAGACCAAAAGGGACTAAAGTGTAAATGGAAAAGTGAAAAGTGAATTTTAATCACTTGACCACCAGATTAAAATTTTGTTCATACGGCAAGGGGGGCAGTGTGGCCGGACCCGTGGAGCGGAAACGGAAACTGAAACTGAAATAATAAAGAAATGAGAAAAACCACACGAAACACACACACACACCCCGAAACAGAGGAAACTGGAAGAGAGGATGTCCTGAAGCTGGCGAAGGAAAGAATCAAAAAAAAAAAATAAAGGATGAACTCAAATTAGCTTTTGTTCCATAAAAATAATAAGATAATGACACTCGCTTAGCTTTCAAGGAGAAATGCTTGTTTTTAATGTTCTTAGTGAACTCGTAGCTTTTTTTTATGGCTTTCCATGGCTTTGATTTTAAGTTTGGCTTAGCTTTTAGATTAGAGCCTTTCAATTTTTGCCTCAATTACGACAATAATTAAATGCCAAGCAGACAGCAAACCAATAATAAATCGAATCTAAACCAAAAAAAAACACCCAACACTACAAAAGATACTCACCCAAAACACACACACACTTACCTTTTTGAAAAAAAAAAAACAAAAATGATATTAAAAAGTAGTTTTATTAAAAAAAGAATGTTTTGAAATTTTATTTATTTGCAGAGAGGATGAAGGCTTTATTAAAGAGGAAGAAAGACCATTACCGGATAATGAAAAGCAAAGGAAAGTCTGGCTGCTCTTCGAGTATCCAGAGAGTTCGCAAGCCGCCAGAGTTGTAGCCATAATTAGTGTATTTGTTATATTGCTATCAATTGTTATATTTTGTCTAGAAACATTACCCGAATTTAAGCATTACAAGGTGCGTACGAAAAAAGCAGGATATTCGGCTACCAAAAAGGATACAAAATCTTTCCATCTCTCTTTCTCTCCAATCTCTCCCATCTCCATCTCTCTCTCTCTCCGTTATCGGTTATCGTTTCAGGTGTTCAATACAACAACAAATGGCACAAAAATCGAGGAAGACGAGGTGCCTGACATCACAGATCCTTTCTTCCTTATAGAAACGTTATGTATTATTTGGTTTACATTTGAACTAACTGTCAGGTATGCCAATCGAATTTCCAATAAATGTTAGTTCTTAAGCTAAGCGAACAAAAGAGAAATATTATATAGATTTTTGATTTTTTGTTTTGTTTTTATATAATATACATATTTCTCTGTCTGTTGCTTTGCTTTTTGTACCACACTCTCATGATTTAAAAACTTGAAACTCTATATATCTCTTTCTCTTACTGTTCTCTCTCTATCTATCTCTTTCTCTACGTCTCTCCAACTCTCACTCTGTCGCGCTGTCTATGTGAATCTTTAAAATCAAACCAATCGCTGGTCGTTGTATCGATTTTGTGTGTGTTCAGGTTCCTCGCATGTCCGAACAAATTAAATTTCTGCAGGGATGTCATGAATGTTATCGACATAATCGCCATCATTCCGTACTTTATAACACTAGCGACTGTCGTTGCCGAAGAGGAGGATACGTTAAATCTTCCAAAAGCGCCAGTCAGTCCACAGGTATGAGATTTCTGTTTGCCCAATTAAAAAAAATATAAAAATAAACAAAACCAATATATATTATATATATCATACACCAAAACAATTCAATACACCCATGAACAAGTTTATGTAATAAGTGTTGCCATCATCATTTATGAGTTGCTTGACATGTAAACGGGGTTGCCTGCTTGCCCAAAAAAAAAAAATGAATTAAACAAATAACATCAAATTCAGTCATGAAATTTAAAAATTAAAACATTTTCTTCAAACATATCAAATTAAAAAAAAAAAACCCACACAATTAATATCGATATATATCGATAACACATTGCTATGTTCATTGTTGTATATTTCGAAATACTAATAATACTCAGACCTACATCCGCTTACTCACCCAATCAATATTCACTCCCTATATATTCACACCGATCGAGCTTTGTAAATGAGCACCCATCATCATTATCATCATCATATATATAATATATAAACGATACACACAGTTTATACAAAAAAAAATACAACAACATACATATATATATATTCATACCACATATAATATATATATACATATATATATTTCGATAAAATTTTTAGGACAAGTCATCGAATCAGGCTATGTCCTTGGCAATATTACGAGTGATACGATTAGTTCGAGTATTTCGAATATTTAAGTTATCTAGGCATTCGAAGGGTTTACAAATATTAGGACGAACTCTGAAAGCCTCAATGCGGGAATTAGGTTTACTTATATTTTTCTTATTTATAGGTAAGTTCCAAACAGTCAAAAAAAAAACCAAAAAAAATTTAAAACAAAAAACCAAAAAAGAAATACATTACTACATATTTTTTTATAAACGACTGCGACAAAAAAAAATCACAGACAGACTCATTCCCCTACCCTTTAAAAAAAAAAAAAGAAGAAAACTCTCTTGTCTCTCTTATTAACTACTCTTCTCTCTGTCTAACACGTACATGGTGCTATCGATAAGCGCGTTTATCGATCTACATCGAATCAAATATCGATCGCGTATTAAAACAACCACAACAGATACATATATATATGTCTATTTATGCTTACGTCTGTCTCAAGCCAGCGCACATTTATGTTAACTGCTCATCACGAAACCCCAAGCCCCTTCCACAACCACCACCACCAACACCAACCCTTACTCCTCATCGGCTAAAGATATATCAAAAAAAAAAAATTAAAATAATAATACTATATAGACCAAAACAACAGCCAACAAAGCCACAAACAAGAAAACAAACAGAAAACTGAGTTTTGCTTTTTAAGAAATTATCATTTTCAATATGATTTGCCCAAAAATACAAAAAGAAACCCCCCCAAGACTTAAGACTAAGGTATACCGATTACCGGGTCCCACCAGAGAGAGTATCTATTAATTAGCTCTAGCCTCGTGACCAATGCCCCTTTAAAACAAACTTTAAAAGTAAAAGCTCCAACTAGAGTTTAGATCTAAACATCAAGCTAAACTAAAGTAAATTAAAGTAAAGTATACTAGTCTAACTTATATAGTCCAAACATATATATACTATATCACCAATACTCATACACAAACACAACCACCCATACATGCATACAAGCTAAATAAAATAGAGGGAGGAGTGTAGTTTTTTACCTAGGTGTCGTATTACCTAGGCGTATATTTCGTATAACTCTCATCCCTTACGTATATCTCTAACTTAATTAGTATCGTCTAATCCTAGCGATAAGTAGGTACGAGCTATAGCTCCCAAAACAAAATATATTCCCCGCAAAACCAAGAATCAAAAATTATAAAAATAAAATAAAACTCTATAAGTATCTCGTTCACATTCGGATACGGTACGTTGAGTTCTCATGATTTGCGTTTTGTATTACGAATAAACCATATATTTCGATTTGAATTTGAGTTTTGTTTTGAATAGCTTTTTTTGCGATAACCAGCAGCCAAATAATGTCTCTAAATGTACTCGAATTTTAGTCTATTGCTCCTGATATACTCTGACAAAGTGCGAAAGGCAGATCGATTGGAGTTTTCCCAGTTCTCGTCATTAATTTTGATCGAATCTCGAGATATCTCCAGACTGCCGTGTTCAAGTCGTTGGCAATTTTAAGGACCTCACGCAATTTGTGCTCCTTTCTTCCAAATATTCCTTAACATTTCTTCTCTCCACATCTCTTAAATAATACTATATTCTGTTTATTTTTTTGCAAAACCCCCATAAAAAAAATAAAACCCAAACTGCGTTGAAAATGCCTTAAAATTGGCAAACTTCTTGGCATTAGAATTGTCCAAAAACAATGAACCAACCGACAACCAAATATATAGCATATAGATGCTATATTCAATAAATCCTATCCAAATCTAATATATACATACAGAAAATTAATATATATTTTAGTATAAACCATCTGTATTTTATATATATTTTGTATTGTTGTTCATGTTCTACCACATTCAAGTTGTTCGTAATAATTCGTAAAACGTTTTCAGTAATCCGTAAAAAATCGTATACTACTTACTCTATTATAATCATCATCAACGTTGTCGTTTCGATGTCCATGTCCACAGATTGTGCCGTGGTTTGAATTTTGCTTTTAGTTCTATATAGTTTTTAGCTTCTAGTTTTTAATTTTAATAGTTGGTAATTTCTAGCTTATAGTTTGTTGTTGTATCCGTTGACCGATTAACGTCTTACTAACTAACTACTAACCATGCCTAAGTATGTATATCATATGTATAATCTATAGTGTACCATATTTAAACCGACATATGAACATGATCACATCTATATCAATATATCGTTACTAAAAATACTCTCAACTCTATACAAATACTCTGTATTGCATATGTTCTGAGTTAAGAGTCAATGTTTTTGTTACGGTTATTTTGCAAAATTTCAGAGTTATCGAAAAGCGATTTATATCGATATTTTTATAGATGGTTCTATCGATTTCGTTTCTTTGGTTTCTGTTTTAAACGTATCATTTGTCTTGCCGTAGTTTAGACATACATATACATCGATATATTGATATATATGTATACATAACTATCGATAAATACTACTACTACTACTACTACTACTACTACTAATTATGAACCGATAACGTATGTATTGTATATTGTACAGAGTCCTTAGCTAGTTCCATGTTTAACTCTAATCCAACCAAAATAAATACTCTTCTGTATAGCTAGTTGCCACCGATCAAGTAGCCTTACTAACCACACACATACACTCACATACACACACTCTATATCTCTCTCTCTCTCTCTCTATATACGTTTCTTTCTCTCACACACACACTTATAGTTGCAGAGAATATCTGCGATTTCTCAGGGAACACACCCCAATTTTATTATTGCCTTTGTAATATTTTGCTAACAATTTATGTGACACTGAAAAAAAAAAACTACAAAAATAAACACACACACACTCTCTCTCAATATTAACCCAAAAAAGTTCCCAAAAACATTTTCTAAATTACATATAAATAGTTTTCTTTTCTATGCACCAAATTCCAACAAAAAAAAATATGAGAAAGAACAAATCCCTCCAAAAAAAATCAACATTTACTAACTCATAATCATAGTCTTATGTATATCTTGTAGTTGTTTTAAAAAATGATAAAAAATAAAAATAATATACTACTATTAATATCAGGGATATATTCCAAAAACCCTGCTACGAACCCAAAAAGTAAAAAAAGAATAACGAGAAATATAAGTTTTTAACCACCTCCCCAAACAGATTCCCAAGCAGAAAATAATATATTTTATTAAAATTTAGAGAAAAAAAAAATATTAATAATTGATCTCGGTTCCAAATCAAATCAGGCGTGGTCCTATTTTCGTCGGCGGTTTATTTTGCGGAGGCTGGCAGCGACAGTTCATTTTTCAAATCGATTCCGGACGGATTCTGGTGGGCTGTGGTGACCATGACGACGGTGGGATATGGTGATATGAGGTACAGCCCACGTTTCCGTTATCGTTTCAGTTCCACACGTTCCGTGTTCATCACTCTTATGCTGCCTGGCGTGGCCTCAATCCTGCTCTCTCTCTCTCTCTCTATCTATTTCTGTTTGTCTGTCTATATCTGTGTCTCTCTCGTTTTTGTCTGAGTGTTTTTTTGTAACTGATTGTTAATGTTGTACAGTAAAGTCTCTTCTATTCTTCCAAAAAGCTTTTTATGTTTGTATATCCTTCATGTTTTCATTTCCATTATATTTTGTCTCTTGCTTTTGTCATCTATAATGCCAAATGTATATAAAATAAAGGGTAAGGGTGATCCGGTTTCGTACCGCCATGCCCCTGTACAGATGCCTCGAAAAAGTACAGCTGTCTCCTTGTAAATGGAACAATGTGAATACCAAGATATGTATGTTGTGACTTAATTGTTGTGATCGCTCGCTTCGAAAGATCCTGTTCCTCATTTCCATTTCCGTTCATTCCTCTTCCGTTATCCGTTTGCACTGCTCTCTCTATCTGTCTCTTTCTCTGTTGTTCTCTGTCTACTCCCCATTAATATGTTATATGTTTTTCATCTGGTTTTCATTTTTTGTTATCCCTTAGTACGTCAACCCATTCCGCATCCCGAAAAAGAAAGTCCTTTGAAATAAATGCCTTGAAAACCCACCTCAAAGATATCACCATATTTTTGTCTCAGCCCCCCCTTATAGTATTACGTACAACGGGCGGGTAACATACTATATATTTTTTTGTCTCCGAACCATATCCCATATCTTTTACATGTTTTTTATAAATATATATATAAATATATTAAAATAAAACCACGTACCGCCCATAGGTAAGCCTTGATTTTCTGCTTGGGAATGCCACCGGATCGTGGTAAAATCGAATATATCAGATATATTTTAAGTTGAACTGAAAAACGTATAACCCCAACTGAAAACATTTAGAATTATAGAAGTGTTTCCATAACAAACACAATACCATACGCACACATTTTTGACGAGTTTCCGACGCATTCAGACCTTACTCGACATACTTTCAAACTAAATATATAAAAAAAAAAACACTCTTTGGTTTAATGTTAATTTTTCAAAACAAAAAAAAAATAAAAATTAAAAAACAAAAGAAAAATTTACAAAAAAAAAAAAAAACCATCAAAGAATATAATACCAATGCAAAGCAATATTTCTCCCATCAACTTTTTTAGGCGTCGTACTCTTCTCATCGGCGGTTTATTTTGCGGAAGCTGGAAGCGAAAATTCCTTCTTCAAGTCCATACCCGATGCATTTTGGTGGGCGGTCGTTACCATGACCACCGTTGGATATGGTGACATGACGTATGAAAATCTATACAATTCTAATTCTTATGATTACGTTTACGATAACTGCAGTTATGATTTTTTGTTCCGTTTCCGTTACCGTTACCGTTTCCGTTTCCTGTTCCCCATTTTTGCGTTTACGTTTCGCTCCCGCTGTGGAGTGCCGCCCCACCGTTCCGCCTTCTCCACTGTTCCACCACCACCCACCACCACCACCTCTGTGTTCTGTTCCGTTTCTGTTCTACTACCAATGTTCCCTTCCAAGTGTTTCTTTCTCTGTGATTAATCCCAATTAACAAACAAACAAAAAAAAAATTATTTATTTCAAAAACCAAACCGCTACTTCCCCCACCCACCGCTAACCTAAACTAAAAGCTATCTATCGAATTACATATATATTTAAAGATTATCTATACTTCTTGAGTTTGTAACTCCCAAATGAAAACAAAGCAAAAAAAAAAATATTTAAATAATTGTAAAACTATTATTGTCTCTTACTTTAAATCGCTGAGCTGTTTGTTTGTGTTCGTAATTATGTCTATGGACCACTTCTATTTGTATTCGTCTCTGTATTTGTATTTGTACTTAACTTTGGTCTTAATCTCGACATTTTAGTTTCATTTCGTTTCGTTTCCTTTTTGGCGTTTTTTCGTTTCTTACTGTCCATCTCGCTCGCACTCGCTCACTATATACAACACTATGTCGCGTGTTCCGTTTCCATTTCATTCCGTTTGAGTCTTTCAAATGGCTTCTAATTTAGCTTAAATTATGATTTTCTTATCGCAAATTAAATATGTAACGTTGTGTCGTTGTTTAGTTTACAAGAAAAGAAAAAGAAAATACTGAAAAACAATATCATCAGCTCAGATCAGTTCAACAATTTCATGCCAGGACACTGTACAGTGTCATCCATAATCGCCATCATCGCCAAAAAAAAAAAATAAAAGTTTATCAACACTAACACAGACAACAAAGACACACATACACTCACTCAACCGAATGGCTGATGGAACCACGCCCACTGAGCTGCCCAGCTGCATGGAGCGATAGCGATAACTTCATTTGCTGGCCAAACAGTTTATCGAGTTTAACCCTCTAAAGACTACCCACCACCACCAAAAACCCTAGACAGTAAAACAAGAAGAAGGAGGAACGAAGACAAGCATGCTGCATGTGCCCGATAAATGCCACAAAAAGACAGACACACAAACACACACAAAGTCACACTCACATTCACCCCCATACACACACACACACACTGGAACACAAAAGTTAAGCAACACTGCCTTCAGCCTTAATGAGCAAGAAAGCCCAGTCTGCCGCCTATGATACTGCCCGAAAAGTTTTTGGGGGTAAAAACTAATCCTAAGCCCCCATCACACCTGCCACAGCTGCCACACTCACACTCACCTGAGCCCCACTGGCTCTAATACCTATATGCAATAATTATGTATATATTTTATTATACGCACTATCGTATAGTCCCTGCCCCTGCCACTTCCCTCCAGACAACAAATATAGCAAAAAAATATAAATAATAATTATAATACAAAAATAATACGCTTCAAGCCCCCCCACGTTGTTCTAAGTGTTGTGATATTTCTACTTTCGATTTTCGTACTCTTTGATTTGAACGTTCTTCTCTCTGCTAGACTAATGCCTCTACTCAAGTCCTACGCTCCTATATCTTTCTATATGCTCTTATATAATTACATATATATATATTTTACAACTAAGCGTACACCCATTTCTGTAACTGTAACTGTAACTGTAACTGTATAATGCGTAATGCCGTATGATTTTTGCCAATGCATACAGTACTTCTATGATATCTGATAAACATATATATGTTTATAAAAAAAAAAAAAAAAGAAACAATGCAAAAAAAAAAATACTAAGAACAAAACGAGAGTTTTACTTTACATTTCTTATATATTTGTATTTTCATTTTATTTATATCGTTCGTTCGTTAACATCGCTCGCTTCCATCCAAACAAACAAAAATACCAAAAAAAAAAAAAAATCAATTTTAAAAAAATACAACCAACCAACTCCAAAATTTTCAATATATAAAAAAAATCTATATATCAAATGCTAATCAAAAACCAAAAAAAAAATACAAAAATATCCCCAACAACATCTAACAAAAATATTTTGCACCAATATCTCACCATTTTCAAATATATATATATATATATACAAACTATTGCAAATTTAAAAATATATATAAAAAAAAATATATTTATGGAAACCTAAAACGCCCGGGAACAAAAAACAAAAAAAAACCAAATCAATATGCAATATGAATGCCAATCAAAAATCGAATCGAAATTTATCGTTTGACATACGACACACGCGTCTATCGATTGATATCGGAAACGTATCGATTTTGAATTTGATAAAAAAAATTAAAAAAATTTGATTATAAATTGATTGAAATGAGAATAGACCCGTCGGTGTTTGGGGCAAGATTGTGGGATCACTGTGTGCCATTGCTGGTGTGCTGACCATCGCACTGCCGGTGCCGGTCATCGTCAGCAATTTCAACTACTTCTATCACCGCGAAACGGATCAGGAGGAGATGCAGAGCCAGAACTTTAATCACGTTACTAGTTGTCCATATTTGCCAGGTACATTAGGTAAGTTCAACACTGTGTCTGCCCACCAAAGTCCATCCCTGCGATCCCCTCAGTGTCAGTGTCTGTGTAATCGCTACGTCTCTGTTGTGGCCTTGTGCTAGACTCCCTCGTTCCACCGCCCACCCCCCACCAAAAAACGATCTTCACACTCGAAAAATACCCCAAAAATAATATATATAAAAAGTAGAGCAACAAAAAGTAGAAAAACCTGTCGAATAAAAATAGAAACATTTACGAAGAAAGAAATGAATTGTGGATGCTGAAGCCGCTGCCGAAGGTGGTGCTGTGAGCCTAAAACTTAAAAAAACGAAAAAAATAATAATTTTAATAAAAAGCGGCACTGCTTTCGAGCGGAATAAGTTGCCACACAGAGAAAAACTATCACCAGAATGCTTTTAAACAAAATATTTCGAATATTAATTGAAAAAAAAAACCATAGCATACTTTTTTGGAGATTTGTTTGAAGAGAATTGGTGATGGTCTTTCTCTCTGGTGGCAACCCTGTGTTTTTTGAAAAGCCCACAACCAACGTGCACGTACTGTGTGTGTTTTGTGTGTATGCCAAGGACCTACAACAAAAAACATTACTGCTACCGATGCATTACAACTGTATGTGTGATCTCCTCTTTCTCTCTTCTCTCTCTCTTCTTTTTGTTTCTCTCTTTATTCCGTCAATTGTATGGCCGAATTTGAATCTCGAAACGTGACCTCCAACACTAAAATTTCCAAATAAAAAAATATTAAAAACCAAAAAAAAACCGAAAAAAAACGTAACTAAAACCACAACAACTACACCTCCAAAAATCCACTCCAAACCGCTCCTGTAAAACCTGCAATCCTGCATCCTGTCCACCTGCCTGCAATCGAAACATCCCGCCCACTCACCCACACCACACCATACACTCTGTCTGCAACAACAAACAACAAACAAACAAACAAACAAAACCAACAACGAACGCGTGCCGTGCCACAAACACACACTAAACCAATGCATACACACCACCAAGTAGGTCAACACATGAAGAAATCATCGTTGTCCGAGTCCTCATCGGATATGATGGATTTGGACGATGGTGTCGAGTCCACGCCGGGATTGACAGACACGCATCCAGGACGCAGTGCAGTGCAGGCTCCATTTTTGGGAGCACAGCAGCAGCAGCAACAGCAGCAGCAATCGCAGCCGCAGCAGCAACCTGTTGCATCGACTTCGATGTCGATGTCGCTCGATAAACAGTTGCAGCATCCGCTGCAGCAGTCACAGCAGCAACTGTACCAGCAACAGCAACAACAACAACAACAGCAGCAGCAACAACAACAACAGAACGGCTTCAAGCAACAGCAGCAGCAGCAACAGCTGCAGCAGCATCACACAATAAGCGCAGCAGCTAGCGCAGCAGCGGGCAGCAGCAGCAGCGGTCTCACCATGAGGCATAATAATGCCCTGGCCGTTAGCATTGAGACCGACGTTTGACTACTGGGTAAGTGTCGGTTAACGGTAAAACAAAAAAATAATAATAATAATAATAAAAAAAAGAAAAGAAAAGAAATCAAAGAAAAAAAGACTACACCACTCGCTTGCTGCACAGACTCTCTGTCTATCTCTCTCTATCTAACTATGTCGCTCCCTCACTATCCTCTTACCATAAACCTCTATATCCGTATCTCTCGCTCTATGACACACTCACTCTTGCATTAAAAAAAAAAATGAAATCCCTCACCTATAACCTCTAAAAAAATATCCTTGCACCTCGAGCCAGACCTAGTAATTAGGTTTAAGTGTTGCAAAATGCCAAAAGCAGTATGCAAAATTCAAAAAAAAAAAAACAGAAAAGGAAATGCGCGCATTGCAGGCAAAAGTGGAAATAAATTAAAATTAAAAATAAAATTCAATTAAAGAATTAAAATTAAAAATAAAATAAATCTTAATTATAATCCTCATAAAGTGTGCAGTGCGAACATCCTATTATTTAAATTGAAACTGAAATCTATTGAATTGCGATTTGATTAGAACATAACTTTTTCTCTCTTTTCTCTCCACGTGGCCCGCTCTTCCACCTACGCAATACCTATGATTATCTCTATATATATATTTACGTCTCTCCATATATATATATATGTATAAACTATGTCTTGTACCTTAATGTATGTATTTTTTATACGTATTTAAAAAATTCAATTAACTTAATTAGTGCAAAAGACGTTACGTGGTATATATTTGGCCTTGACAGGAGTTACGTTGGATGCCAGAAACGACTACAAAAGCTGTTTATATTTAATTTAAGTAGAACAAATAACAAACAAATTTAATCTATTACTAAATTAAATTTAATCTAAATTTAAATTTAAATTAATTTAAAATTAATTTAACTAAATTATACACTTAACGATAAAAACAAAAACCAACCATCACAAAAACAAACAAAAAACCCAAAAAACAGAAGAAATGAAAGAGTAAGGAAAGTACCAGAAATAGACGCGAGTAGTAATGGCATAACCAAAAATTAAAAATAAAAACTATAAAAAATTGAAAGCTAAAAAATAAAAAAAGGGATAAACATCGAAGGCATGAAGAAAAGCTGCCAAAATAAATATTAAAAATAATATGAAAATAAATCGAATAAATCGAGCCCAGAAACTACGAACCGGTACTGTAAATAAATGCGAAATAAATGTTTATGCTCACAGGACACACATTACAAGCATTACGTATTTTAGAGAACAAGAGAAAAAGCTTTAGGAAGAAAGTACAGAAAAGGTGAATGCTCCAAGGACGAAGGATACACTACAACACACACTCACATCCACACACTCAAACACGAACATCAAAAGAAAATATAGAAAAACTGCCGTAATATTTAACAGAAAACAAAAAGTAAAAACAAGGAAAACCATTTGTATAGTCATCGATCGAGGAAAGGAAACCCAATTGCAAGATATCCCTGGAAGAAAAAGAATCTGCTTTTAAATGTGACAGGAAATAATCATTTAACTTAAATAACTTGACTAAAAACTAAAAACTAAAAACTAAAGCTAAACTGATTAAACTGAAATTAACCAACACTAAATATACACACATACATATATGTGCTAGATGTATGTATATGTCTATTAACTACAAAATACTCACTCCTCTTAACTGATTTTTGTTTTTTGACTAAAACAAGCTTAATGGAAATCTGTACCCTCCAAAAAAAAAAATACCAAAACCAAAAAAATACTAAAAAACCCCACCCGATGAAACCGAATACCGAACCCGTATCAGCTACGATTCTCCTCCTGCTTCGATCCCCCCGAATAATATCGAAATAAAAAGTACAAATATTCAACTAATGGCAAATAGTTAATGTTTAAATAATACAAGCTCTGCCGAACATGGAAATTAGAAGAAAATAAAAAAATTGGATTGCTCATAATTATTTAAAAGAAAAAAACACACAAAAAAAGAGTAAAGAACTTGAAGGATAATTCCAGGAGAATTGCAAAAGAGAACCGCAGATGCAGAAAAAAAAAAACAGAAAACGTTCTTATGATTTTTGTAATGAAAGCAAACTATCAAATATATAGATACAAAGCAAAGAAGCAAAGCTGAAGGATATATAGTATACCACTAATAATATTGTTCGACTGAATTGCAAAGTCTAGAGAATAAAGCCCCGAACCTCTGGCAAAAAAAGAAACATAATCGTTGACTGAACTATGCAGATTCCAAAAATTTGCATAAAATGTATAAAAAAAACATAGAGACACTATTAATATATATATGTATAAATATATATGTATATAATAATATGTATATATATTTATAAATATATATATAAAAAAAGTAAGTAAACTGTATATATATACGAAGAGCAGCCAGACGATATTGATGAAAGAAAGATCACATCATTCAAGTGTAAATTAAAAAAAAAAAATATTTAAAAAAAAGCTTTGAAAACCGTCCACGCACACACACACACAAGCACACACACTTACACGCAGTCCAGAAGGAAAAAAACCGCGAATTTTTTTTTAAGGGCCTAGGTGGAGAATGAAGAACTACGAAAATTAAAGGGCTCGAGAGTCAAATGAAAAGCCAGTGAAAAAATCCGGAGGAGCAGAGCAAAAAAAAAGAGAAAGTGCCTTAAGGAATATGATGAACTGGCCCAGGACTGTATGCCCCCCTTCTGCCTACGCCCCTGCAACTGACCCCGACTCCTTTACTTCCTTCCTTAACCAAAAGCTAACCCTCCTCGAACCCCTTTAGCTTTTTGCAATTCAGTGGAACCGCTAACCCGAACAATAAAACAATGAGTCACAGTGGAGCCTAGCTAAAAACGAATAGCAAGAAAAGACAAAAAAAAGAGGTGGCCCAGGCACTGTAAATAAAGGACTTGCAACACTGTGGCAACACCAACTAACTGTAAATACTCTCCTAAAAAAGAATTAATAAAAAAATAAAAATAATAACAAAGCCAAGATCCACAACTTGCAACAACGCTATTTTGTACAAAAAACTAAATAAACAAAATATAAATGATAAATAATAAAAAAAAACTAACAAAAAGACGTAAAGAAGAGGCAAAGCAACACTCCCAAACACACATACATATATGCATACTTACACTCGAAGAAAAAAAAACGTCATTTAAATTGTACTGTACGTAGTCATACCAGAAAGTATCTGTATCTAGAAGCAAACAAAGGAGTAATGCGATGAATAGGCACTAGGAAAATGGTCCAGACGATAAGAAGAATATAACTAATTAATAAAAGAACAAAAATATAAATAAATAAATAAAATATGGAGAAAAGGAAACACCAAATGGAATGAGAAAGAAAATAACTAATAAAGAAGAAGCTTAACGAAAAGAGAATCGCTTACTTAAGATTAGATTTTATGATTTAGATTGAGCAGAATGGGATTTAAATGATTTTTAGCTTCATAGATAACAGAGATACATATGTATGTAGATATCAGATACAAGAAATCCGAAATCCGAAACCCGATAAGACGATAGAACCGATAAAACCCGCTAGCCCGATAGCCGATAGACGATAGTCGATATACATAGCAAGATATCAGATATCAGAATACAAGGAGCCGAGTGTAAAGTAAGGTTGTTTTTTTTTCCTAGCCTTAATCTAGACAAATGAATAAATTTAGCAAAAAAAAAAAAGAAAAAACAAAAAAAAACACACATAACTGTAAATGAGTCTAAGGATAACCGATGTATAGCAGAATTTAGTAATTGATTTTTAATTTATTATTACAATTATACGTTCACATTTTTGTCCTACAATTTAAGACTTTGATTTAATCACAAAACAAAACAAAAAACAGCCACTATAATTAAAGAAACAAAAAAAAAACTAAATAAAATACTAAAAAAAAAATCAGACAGAAAACAAATCGTGTTAATATTTACCTATGAAAGCTTAAAACCAATAATGAAACAAAAAAAAAATACTAAAAATACCAAAAAAATGCAAAATAAAAACAAAAATTTTGGAATAAATGTGTTCAGCAAAAGAAATGTTATTATATGTTTAAATAAAATTACAATTAATTGGAGATGAACAGAAAAATTTAATGTAATTAAATTGAGCTAAGTACACAAGTAAAAAAAATTCTAAACAATTTCAAATTGTATATATGTATACACAACATAAAAATACCATAAAAAAACAACACACACACACACATAGGTATATATTATATATATATATATGGCCCATAGCATATATGTATCAATGTATATGCTGAAACAGAATTAAAAGTTAGCTATCGCAGACAAACAAAAAAAAAACAAAATATTTAAAAAGTAACAAATACCCTTAAAAATACCAAAGAATTACTCACTAACACATACACAAAAGATGATCAAGAGGAAGATGAAGACGAAAATAACGGAACCCCAAATGCTGATCCAATCCGATCCGATCCCAACAATAAGAAAAGCAAAAACAAACAACAACAACAAAAATCGAAGCAAATAAATTTGAGAAAAGTTTTTGAAGCGTTTTTTATTTCGCACAGTTCACTGTGCCGCCTTGTAAATAACAAATACCAAAAACCAAAAAAATACCAAAACAAAATAAGAGTATATACTACTTTGTAACTTTGTATATTTCTTTTTGCCAACGTATTTTTGCGACATATCCGTCTTGTTCCATTCCGTTCCGTTCCGTATATAAATGTATATTTTTTTTGTATTTAAAAAGTAGATCCGTAGTTAGTTGAGGAATTCCTGTCGAGCTAGGATCTAGATTTTTATATTTAGTTTTTACTGTAACTGTATTAGCTGGCGCTCAAAAAAAAAAAACGAATACCAGATACAGTAGAGCCTCGTTGTTTTTTGTTTTCCCTAAGCATTTTTAATAAAATAGGTTTTTTTTTGATCATTTTCGAATTTAGAAACAATTGAGGCTTTACATTGCCAACAAAAATATTGTAACTCTAATTGTAAATAATCTATAATTCTTTTCGTGTTATTTTGTGAGCTAAACTTAAATTATTCAGTCAGCCAATCAGCCAATAATAAGAAATTCTAAAAACACACAAACACACACATTAACTATCGAATCGAAAGTGGATTTTGAAAAAAGACGCATTTTCTAAGTTCGGTTTTTTGTATTAGTTTTCGTATTTTACGCTTTAACTATTATGCTCTACTCGAAATCAACTCTACGCTATTCAAAACTCAACTCTAGTCTAGCCTAACTCTAATCCAAAACAAAAAAAAATCTAAAAAGTAAACGAATCGCATTCAAAAAAAACCCCTTAAAATACACACTCGAAAAAATACCAAGACGATACTCTTGTGAACGGAACTCCAGAGGCAAAGAAGCAGACATATCGTTGTAAAGCAAAAACAAAAACAAAAAAATGAAAATTAAGTTACGATAACCATACGCTCAGACTCATGAGAATAAAACAAACAAAAATATCCAGTTAATAAAACACGTAATTATTTTTCCAAAAGTATTTAAACACTAAACACTAAACAACAAACACTCGACTTCTTCAATTTAAACCAAAAACAATCTTTTCAAGTTTTCCATTAAATTTAATTGCAATCCTAACGAAGCAAATAAAAATCTTAATACACATACGTAAAATACAAAAAAAAAACTTTAATAAAAATAATGAAAAACCTTTTGATTGAAACAAAAACACATTTACCATATGGCTATATAGTACGAGTAAATCAAAACATAAACCATAAAAAAGAAAAACCAAAAAAGAATCTTTCAAAATCTTCTCAATGCTTCAAAAACAAAAAAAAACAAAACAAATAAAATTTCTATTAAGGACAAAGACTGCAAATAGAGATTTAAAAAAAAAAAACAAGTACACGTACATATATGTATGAAAAGAAGAAAACACAAAAAAAAAGAATGAAACAAAAAACAGAAAGAAATTTTTATTAATTGATTTTTAATTCTAATTTGGCCTTGATTCAACCTACCAAGAAAATAAGTTTAGGTTTAGTTAGAACCGAAGCGAAACAGACCGGACAGAACTGAAATGAATCGAACTTTCAATTTTGAAATTGCAACACCTCTCCCATCAAATTCCAGAAATAGCAAAAAACAAAATAACTAAAGTAAAAACAATAAATTTTAAAAAAATAATGGAGAACCAAAAAAAAGAAGGAAATCAAAGCCACAGACCACAGATAATACCAAAACACAATAATCCCCAAAATAAAGCAGAACAAACAATTTAGTATTACGCCTAATAAGATATTACAAAAAGAAAACAAAAACAAACAAAAAAAAAATGAAACAAAAACCTAAAACTCACTCAAAAATTTAACAAAAAAAATGGAAAACAAAACAAAAATGGAAATGTTGTTAAGATTAAAATGAAATGTTTTATAATCGTTATTCAATAAAAATAAAAAAAAAATAAATTTCCAAAAAAAAGCATTAACCAAAGCAACAATTCTAGTTATAATCTTCCCCATTAACTTAATACCTGTGGCACTCCTTTCCCCATTTTTTAGACTAGTTGGTAGTCCTAGTAGAGTATATACTTTTTCGGGTTAAAGCTCACACTTCAAGTTCTTGGGCGGCATTAGAGTTAGTAAATCACTATCGTAACTATAAGCTTAGAGTCTAGTTTTATAGATCTAAGTTAAGAGGTTTGAAAACTTTTTTTCAATCAAACACGCAGACAGACAATCCTAAAAACATACAAAAAGCACTCATGCCAGTAGCACCATTCCATTAAAGACATTTTCTAGCGTAGTTTTAGCCACAAACCCCAACCCGCACCAAAATAGTACCCCCACAAAACACACACATACAACCACAAACAAAGTACATACATACATGTCTTCATAAAAAAATGACGCATGACATGTCGAGTGCAAAAAATAAACTATAAAGAGTGTAAAAGTAACAAGTATTAACATGAGAAAGTCCACTTCTTGGAAAGTTGAAGTCCTAACAGGTCAGGTCCCGGCCCCGGCAGTCAAAAGCGATGCTAATAAACCCAAAAAAAATACCAGCGAACGGTGAGTGTGACCAACCCCAGAGAATATACCCCTGAAACACCCTGGTTACTCTATTATTCCTATACTTTTTTATAGAACATGAGAATTCCATTGAGAATTCTCTATATATCTCTCTCTCTCTATCTCTATTCTCTTTATCTCTATATATTTTTTTTTTTTGATTTTGGTTAAAAAATTTCATACTTTGTTTTGGTGTATGCCTCCATTTTGATTTTGCCTATATCCTCTCAGATGTCTCTATGCTATATATAATATACACCTACCTTTATACATATATATATATACAATATATAATAATAATATTGATAATCGTATATGGAATATTTTGTAAACTTTTTGCTTACGTTCTCCCCCTTGCGCCGAATGTAAAAAATAAAATATATATATATATTTTGAAAAAAATAAAAAAAAAATGTAAGAAACGCTTCAACGCTCCTGCGCCAGCCTGCTATCGTTAATCGTTAATCGTTATCGCTATCGCTCTGCCCATTATTGCTGCAAAAATATAACAACAACAACTACAGCAAAAAAAAGCTACAGCAACAACAAATGCAGCAATAAAATAACAACAACTAGTACAACAACAACAAGAACAACAACAACCAGAACTACGGCGGAACAACAAGAACAACAACAACGAAGAACTTGCAGTTCTCTCAACAATTTTTTTTGCTGAGACTGCACGGCTCCTGCTTCTGCTCCTAAGTCCCGTTTCCCTGTGCTTCCCGATTCCGGTGCATGTGCAATCAGTTGCTAAAAACTATATATATATGCTATAATTATATATATATATGTACAATCAAAAATATCCAATCGAAATCGAATGATATTGATATTGATATTTGACATTGAGATCGCGACAGAACCAGAATCAGATCGCAGCAAATCCAAGCAAAGCAAATCAAACAAAAAAAACTAAAGCAAAACTAAAAAAAAAAACAAAAATTTTATATAGAAACCAAAAGCAAATGCAAATCAAAAACAAAAAAAATTTTTAACGCAATAGCAAAAAAAAAAACATTAAAAAAACACAAGGGCGCACGCTTAGCACATTTGCATAAAATACCAACTTACTTGCTATATTTCCACTCCCCCACCAAAAAAAAAAAACAGAAATCAACCCACAGACATACAACACACACACATACACTACAAAAAAAAAAAAAGGAATGCATTTTACACCAAGAGGAGTTTTTTGGCTTTCTACTCACTTTGAACACGTTTTTTTCTCTCGCTTTGATTTTGATTTCGTTCCTTGAGCATTAATCTCAGCAACTACTCTTTGCCTTACTTACGATCGCTTAACTATACCTAATATCTATATAATACACACACACTCAGAGAAAAAAGACACAGGCTAAGCGGCAATTTTAGTATTAAATTTGCCAAAACAGCTTTTGAGAATTCATCCATCATTTACCATCTTCTGTCATTAATTCCATCAATCATTATCATGCACCTTTAAAAAAAATACCAGAAAAAATACTAAAGCGCACACAAAAAGTACAGTCAGATCGAACCGAATCATGCATCTTAAACATCAGGTACAGTCAGACAGTCAACTTAAATACACGATTCAAAATACAGTGAATACTCGAAAAGCATCGTCGCTGATGAAGGAAACGAACCAAGCACGAAGACGACACAAGAAACCACCATAAAGATGGAAACAAAGAAGACGCCTAAAAAATGGAGAAAAAAAATGATGAAGACCAAAGGATGTTCATGGATGTTTGTGCTATGTGTCTCCCTCCCAACTCCTGTCAGTGTGTGTGTGTGTGTGTGCAACAACGTTAACCGTTTGCCGTTAACCGATAACCGATAAACCGACTCGAATCCGATCGGTTCGGTTCGATTTGCTTTGGTTTTTCAAACACACATCTCTATATCTCTATGTATATTCATTTTATGTCAAGTTTAACAGCGACGACGCCAAACGCCGGCACATTTTGTTTATTCCATTTGGCAATAAGTACGCTTCGGTTTTTTGTTAGCCAAAACCAGCTATCCACCCATAATCTAAATATCAATAACCTATCTATGTAAACCACAATGATTTTCTTGTTTTTTTTTTGTCTATCAGATTTTCAATTTGTGTTTTTATTTCAAAAAGAGATTTAATTTTGAGATTTAGACTATTTTTTGGAATTTAAATTTGATTTTGATTTAGATTTGATTTGAGTTTAGTTTTAGTTATCGGAGCCCACCCATCCTAAAAAAACGAAAAGAAATAAAACACCCCACCCCACCATTCCCACCAAAAACCGAAATGCTTTCAATGTTCGCAAATACTGAGTACCAAATACTAAATACTTAATACTGAATACTAATAACAATACCCGATACTTATACCCGATACGCCAAATACCTAGTTGAATCCTTTTGATTTTTGCTTTCTCTTCAGTTTAACGTAAGCCCACCCCACCCACCTCTATTGTATAACTAACCAAACGTATCGCTTTGTTTTATATACCAAATATATAAATACATATATAACCCAGTATTCTGTATCTGTTTGTGACACGTTATTAACAATTCTTTTTGTTTAGTTTCGTTTTATGTTGCGTTTGTACCAAGTTCGAATCTTTAGTTGGGTTCGAATCTAAGCCGCTATATAGATTAGTATATTGAATATATTGAGACTTATAACTTGTTTCTATTTGTTTGTTTTTTTACCATCTGATTTACATACTGCGTTCTTCTTCTACGTTCTTCTTCATACCAATACCAAAAAAAAAAAAAAACCAAAAACCAAAAAAATAATAATAAAATACCAACAATAAACACAAAAAAATACAATACTGACTTTGAAACGGAATTTGCATATTTAAAAACGGATCGGATTGGATCGATTTAAATATACAAAAAACAATACCACAAAAAAAATCGAAATCGAATTGGAAAATATCACTTTTCGAATTCGAATACGATATTAAACTCTAACGATAATAAAAAAATACCAAAAATACGACAACCATATTGACAAACATGAATCGAATCCACAAATATTGCCATTCAATGAACAAACGATTGCATTCTGAACTGAAAATGCATCCAGGCCCGTCGGCTTCTGGGGCAAAATTGTCGGCTCTTTGTGCGTGATCGCTGGTGTGCTGACAATCGCACTGCCGGTACCGGTTATCGTCAGTAATTTCAATTACTTCTATCACCGCGAAACGGATCAGGAGGAGATGCAGAGCCAAAATTTCAACCACGTTACAAGTTGTTCATATTTACCTGGTGCACTAGGTACATACCCTAATACTTTTTGTGATTATCTACTAATAATAATTATAATAATATTCCCAAAAGAAAAATATATATATTTTAACAAACTGTTAACCCATCGAGATGAACCCATCTTTTCCCAAAAAAAAAAAAACGAAAAAAAAAGATCCCATTTAGCAAAATGCATTTGTTTTTTTTTATAAACACTCTTTCTAATCGAAATCGTTCGACTTTAGGTCAACATTTAAAGAAATCCTCACTCTCCGAATCGTCGTCGGACATCATGGATTTGGATGATGGCATTGATGCAACCACACCAGGTCTGACTGATCATACCGGCCGTCACATGGTGCCGTTTCTCAGGACCCAGCAGTCCTTTGAGAAGCAGCAGCTCCAGCTGCAACTCCAGCTGCAACAGCAGCAGCAGCAACAACAGTCGCCCCACGGCCAGCAAATGACGCAAGTGCAACAGCAGCAGCAGCAGCAGCTGGGCCAGAACGGTCTCCGGAGCACAAATAGTTTACAGTTAAGGCACAATAACGCGATGGCCGTCAGTATTGAGACCGACGTCTGACTACTAGGTAAGTGTTGCCTACTTTTTAGGGCAACATTTGCTTGTTTTCCCCAAGAAAATGTATTTTTAATCTAAGTTTGATTATTGAATTTAGAATATTAATTCTAATATAATAATAATTAATATCTCAATTTTCTAGTCAAACAAATGGAAAATGGACGAAATTTGCGCAGTGAAATGCTACGTTGGATGCCAGAAACGTCATCAAAAGCAGTCTAATTTAGAATTTTATTAATAAATACAATTAAATAATAATAATAATTAGTAAGCAGCGTAGTTGTAAATTAAACAGCAAATGTACACAAAACACACAGACACACACACACACACATACACAAAACACACACACACACACACTGTGCCAGTTCACTAAAGCTTGGAATTAGAGTTAAAAATCGTAGAGTCAACCATGGACTGGCTTTCTGTTAGATTTTTCCTTGATTTTCTTTTTTATTTTTCTTCTGGTAATCAACACAACGAAAACTTACACACACACACACACACCGACACATATACAAAGAAAAAAACTCTACTTGATACCTATGTTCAAATTTAGCAATTAACAACTAACAATCGTTAACAACAAAACAGATGAGAACAAAACAAAAACAAAAAAAATGAACAAAAAAAAAACAAAAATCAAATTATCTTAGTAGACTAATCTAATTGGAGTTTCTTCCTTTCTTTAGAAGCTAGCAAACAAAAAAAAAAAAACAAAAACAAACAAAACAACCAGACAAACAAAAACAAACAACATACAATATCTGCTAATTTTATTTTCAAACTTTAAATTATGCTCTATTAATTAAATATTAGTCAGAATATTAGTAAAACAAACTAAACAAAAAAAAATAATAAAATAATAAACTAAAATACCAAAGCAAGAACAGAAACTTAAAGCTGATTCGGAAAACTATATGCAATGAGATAATAAAGAAAAAATATATTATATAACTACTAACGACGGCTTGTCGTCGTTAAAACAGTGGTCTGGGTAAATGAATACCATTTTTGTTTTAAATTAAAAAATATAAATTCCAATTTTTAGTTTTGGAAATTAAAACTGTAACCTTTCTTTTTAAACTTTGTCCGTTGCATCCAGTGGCCTTCAGTTTTCAATGAATCCTAAAAAATCTTTCTGACCAGAACGCTGTTTTAAATATTTACACACACACACAATCACAATCACACACACACACAAACATAAACATGAGACACACACACATACACATAATAATGCTAAAAACATCAAAACTGCCGTTAAGTTTAAAGATTGAGTAAACAGAAGAGTATATATATATATATAGATATATATATATACATATGAATAAATATATATTAAATATATACATACATTTACATATATAATTAAATATACATAAACTAAACTAAAAACTGCTATTTTGTAAATAAGTAAGTCAAAGCTGAAGCTGAACAAATAGACATAGACATAAAATAAATATTAAACGAAAACTAAAACAACCAAAAACAAAAAAAAAAGAAACCAAAAAACCAACCAGAAACCAAAATCATAGCTAATTAAAGGGAATTACAAAATCGTAAAAACAAGAAAAAAAAATAAGAACCTAAAACCAAAAAACAAAAAAAAATAAGGAAAGCTGCTAACGATACAAAAACAATAATTAAACTTAGCAATTACAGACAACCAAACAACAACCAGAGCCACAACAACAAATACAGCGCAAAATTAAAAAAAAAAGGAAATGAAGAAATTAAAAGAAGATTTTTATATGAGAGACCCTTAGAGAAATCCTGGCTCATCCAGTATATATAGCTATGATCTCTTATAGAGACCCTTGTGATTCGTGCACTCGTGCACGAACGTTGCTTGCTTTCAGTTTAAGTACAGTTGATCCTAGTTTAGTTTAGTCTTCCTTAGATGGCGTTTCTTTCTGGCACATTAATACAAGATACAAGATACAAGATACAATTACAAATACAAATACAGATTACACTTACATATTCATGAGTTGTAACTTGATTCGCTGTCTTCCTGATTTTTGTGATTTTCAAGTCAATCGGAATCTTCTAATCATTTTTCGAAAAAAATACCAAAAAAAATAACTAAATGAAACTTCAACGTTTGTCATGCAAAACTAAAAAAACAACAAAGAAACACACTTTAAACAAACAAACAAAATAATAAGAAAATCGTATCAATTTAAATTTGTGCATGAGCATTTGAAATATCAATTCTATAAAACAAAGATGAAAAAAAAAAACATAAAATATCAAAAACAATGATACTACCAAAGGGCACTGCTTGAGCTGCGATAAATTCGAAATTCGAAAATATATGAATACTGCTTGAACTGCTTGGATGCGATGCAGTGCCGAAATGTTTGCGTGCAAAAATCGATCGATCGAAGCCATATCTAAATTTCTCTATATACCTAGAATCCTACCTACAAAGCTTTGCTTCTACTGCTCTTGCTAAACGACAAAAAAAAACCAAATTAAATAGGAACACATACATATATGTATAGGGGGTATGGGGCGGGAAAAGAGGTATGTATCGATACCAGAAGAAAGCAATAAAAGATTGGATTTTAAGAAGAAAGAACTAGCATATACATATACACACACACACAAATACACACACAAACTTATACACAGATATACATATATAAAGTATTTATATATAAAAACATTATATATAAATATGGGTTTTTTTTTTGTTAGATATGCGACTGAATAAAAAGTTTTTATTGATTTGCTGCTTGTTGTAATTAAGAAGAATTTAAAGAAACCAAAAAAATAAATATAAAATATAATATTTGTACCGAAGCAATCTGTAAATATGTAAAAACAAAAATAAGAAAAAGCCAACAAAGAAAACAAAAAGAAAACCTAAAAAAAAAAATTAAAAATAAAGTAAATTAAAAATAAAAAATCGAATCAATTTACAGCTTTGAAAACCGTCCACACGCACACAGCAAACGAAAGCTAAAGAGATAGAGATAGCGGAAGCGAAAGAGACAGAGCCAGAGCACACAGGGAAGAAGCAGGCAGGATAGAGATGACCGTAAGAGATGGAAATATTAAAACTGGGCCGCAGGACATTCTTACGTATACTTGATTTGGCCTTAAACGCAATCCAATACACACTGCTTGCACTAACACACACACTAACACATATACACTTATGCAGATCGAACCAATATATATATATATATATATTTGGTATATATGTACAATAGAAAAAGTTGAAGATACATTTTTAACTCATTCCAAAAACTTCATTAGCGAATTTAAAAAAATATATAAGTTTTTAAGTTTTTTTTTTCTTTTAATTTTGATTTTGATAATACAAAAAAATACAACCAATGAGCAATAACAGAAAATTCAACAAGATTGCATATAAAAAACGATATTCTTAATATTAACTACGGTAATTACCCAATAATCTCTATATAGACATTAAAATAAAATTAAAATTAAAAAACATATCGTCTTCAAGTCATGCGAAAAACCAAAACCAAAAATTGAGTAATTTTTTTTTTATAAGCGTAATTTACAAATTAAATATAAAAAAATCGCTAAGAGAATAAAAGCTTACTATTAAACCAAAAATAAGGAATGACAGCATAGAGCTAGAGCAGTGCGGGTATAGTCGAAAACGAAAGAAAGAGACAGGTGGAGAGGAACCAACTTGGCCAGACTACAAACTAAAAGTGATATTAACCAAAAACAAGTCACAAAACAAAAACAACACAACACATTAAAAAAAGAATCTATAACTTGCCAAAATATTTAGGAGGGTAAAGAACGAGAGACAGCGATAGATGGTGACAGAGAGTGGGATAGAAATAGAAGTTAGAGAAAGAGACAGAAAACTATGCTAAATTAAAATAATAGAAAAGTATTGCCTACAAAATGCAAGTTCAGTCGACGGCAAAGTCTAGAAACTTTCCAAACTTTCCTTTCCAATAAGCGCCCGCCCCCTGCCATGCCCCCAAGCCCAAAAAAAAATCAGAGAAAAAAATTTTAAAATAAAAAATGAATAAAAACAAAGACTGGATTAAAACAACAAAAAATGAAAAGTAAAATATACAAGACATTGCATAGTTTCATGGAACAGATACATATATGTATATATTCGAATATACATACGTTCTGTTCGAATCAGTCTTCATATTCAAGTTCGATTTCAATTTCATTATAATAAAAAGAAAATGCAACTACCAAGAAAATAATAACAAATTATGTTTAGCTTAAAAAAGCATGCGAAATAAAAACGAAAAACCAAACTAAAAATAATTATAAAATATGCCTAGATAATGAAATACACATACACACACACTCAGAGACTCACACTCCTACAGTTACACTGAAAACAAATATTGGTAGAAAGCAACGTATTAGGCCCAGATCAAGTAAAATGAAAGGGGAAGGGTTGGAGAAAGGGAAAGTTAGCATAAAAGAAAGTTAGTCACTCCATGTAAAATATGCAACAACAACAAGAACAACAATTAAATAATTACCAAGAGCGAGAGAGACGACGGGCATATGGAAAAAAAAGAACTACTTATGAATTAATGCTAAAAACAAATTTACATATTAAAGGTATACATTAAAACAAAAAGAAATAACACTTAAGTAAATCAAATTATAACAGAAAAACGCCGCAGCAATTATAAAAAATATATATGTATATAATATATATAATAAATAAATATATATATACATATATATGTTGTTAAGATTCTAAAATGAAAATGTTTTATAAATAGTTAAACCAAAAAAAAAAAAAACAAAAGATTATTATATATTAAATACGAGAGAAGGCTAGGAGGCAGAACAATTCAACACACAAGAACCAGAAACAAACACCAAAACTACAATAAGCAACAAACAAACAAACAAAGAAAAAAACAAACCAAGAAACCAGAAACAAACATGGCGAGCAAGCACAAAATTTACCGTTTGACTTTCGATAAATTTAATATGAAAAATGGAATGTAGAAAACGGATAAAACCAAAAATGAAAAAACTAAAAATCAATTTTTACAATCATTGTAAATTTAAACCAAAAACCAGATTGGATTTCAAATCAAAGCAGCTTACAAAAAACGAACAAACTCAAATGAAATATAGAAACTATATGTAGTCAAAAGTCAGCCAGCTACCAAACAAAAAACAAAAATAAAATATAAAAAAAAATGAAGACAAAACCAAAACTCGCACATACAAACCGCTCAAAAACACAAACACACACACAGACACATACACAGACAGAGGCAGACACACGTTACTTTATGAACATAAAACAAATTAAATGGAAAGTATATAAAATAAATTATGCTAAATGGAAAATTAAAAAATAAAAACACTGTTTTCATTTCGAATATCGCGCCAAAAGATGGTAAAGTAGTAGAATTCGTCTGGAAATAAACTGCTTGCTTGCAAGCCTCACCCACAGGTGGCGGTAGATAAACATTGTAAAACTCACCGATTCCCCAATCGTTTTGCTGGGGATGTGTACAAAATGTGGGTTTCGATGGCCAACATTGTGGGTTTTCCCAATTTCCACACTTTTGCTCCTTCCGATGGCCATAGCTCTGGCAATTTGTATCCGATCAGGAAATAAAGTACCATTTAGTAATCAGGGAACCCAAAAGCGACTTTCCTTATTCAAAACATTGCTTGAATATCGTTTTTAAATTTTTCGAATTTTTTCCAAGGGGTTCCCCTACCAAATTGTGGGTTTTCCCAATTTCCACACTTTGGCTCCTTCCGATG